GAAAATTTGGGTACACATGGTATGTCTAGCTAAGGTAGTGTGGGAGTTTACGAGGATCTAAACAGTTGCCGACTTGTCATAGTACCGTATATTGGAAACCGTCCCTACAGATGGGTGGTGACGTGCGTCTGCGTACTAAGTCGTTGCATTCAGTTCCAATTTTTTCTTCACCAGACAATGTAGGATTCATGGGGAACCTCAATTTTGAGAGGTCAGTTTCTGATCATGACTGGAGTCACGAGACCGACTTCTCGTGATGAGGCATACAGACTACAGACATCCCCACGATGTTGTACCGGCATTTGCAGCGGCTCGGTGGAACGGCAGGGGAGTTTACATACAATTCTGCAGGCGGTTCATATGGAAGTCTTCTTGGTTAGCTTATCGCCTAAAATTGGACGTAATGCCTATTAGACAAACGAGAGCCTTGTATTGGTCCGCGGGCGGTTTGGCAGTCACTTCCTCAGGGACCTTCCTTGTGCGGGGTAGTGGAGGGCCAATCAAGCCTCCATTTGGGGGGACGTATCCCAAGCGGCTGGTCCTTATCATCATCCCACCTTTTTCGCAGGTGGCCGCCGGTCCAGGCCCGTGGGCGGCGCAAACGGCCGCTTCCTCACTATCGAAGACGACCACCTACCTGTAATGTCTAACTACCCTTTTGGCGCCAGCGAGTCCTTCTAAACCCGTAATCTGGGATTTTTCTTTCACCGACACCTACAACAGCTCATGAAGACGAGTTGATCTGGCCGAGAGTCACCAACAATCTTGTCAGGATGCATCTCGTTCCTAAGGAGGTATGTACTTTTTGCCCATTGTGCCCAAAGTTTCCCTCTTACACATCCCTGTCGCCTTGGCAGAATTTGGTAGAGACAGTAGTGTTAACGCGGCACGTCGTGATTGTAGCTCGATAAGCTCGTCATCTCTCAATTAGGCTCCCTGGCTCAACGGCGGCTTGCCCGGGGCGTCAAGTTGAACCACTCTGAAGCAACGGTACGAATACCTTCTTTTGCGGTGCTATCACCGCACTCAGAGTTTGTATGCACTAACACGACTCAACCGCAGGCACTCATCGCCAGCAACTTGCAAGAGCTTATCCGCGATGGTAACCACACCGTGGCCGATCTCATGAGCTTGGGTGCCACCATGCTGGGGAGGAGGCATGTGCTCCCCACAGTCTGCAGTACCCTTCATGAGATTCAGGTCGAGGGCACCTTTCCCTCAGGGACCTATCTTGTGACTGTTCACAACCCCATCGCAACGGACGATGGTGACCTGGCGCGCGCCTTATACGGCAGCTTTCTCCCCGTGCCCAGCAACGACCTCTTCTCGATGCCCGAAGTCGCGGCGTACGAGCCCAAGAAGGCACCCGGCGCCGTTGTCACCGCGGTGCGCAAGGTCGCGCTCAATGAGAAGCGCAACCGCATCAGGCTCAGGGTGAAGAGCAAGGGGGACCGCCCTATCCAGGTCGGCTCGCACTACCACTTCATCGAGACAAATCCGCAGCTCGAGTTTGACCGTGAGAAGTCGTACGGCTACCGGTTGGACATCCCCGCCGGAACCTCGGTGCGTTTTGAACCCGGTGACGTGAAGACGGTGACGCTCGTCGAGATTGGAGGCCACAAGGTCATCCGCGGTGGCAACAAGCTCGCCTCAGGCGGCGTCGAGCTCTGGCGCGCAAAGGAGATTGTGGAGAAGCTTCAGCTGGCCGGTTTCGCCCATGCGCCGGAGCCCGAGGCTGTCATGAACTTTGCCGAGGTCTACCAGATGGAGAGGGCGGCGTACGCGACAATGTTCGGTCCCACCGTGGACGACCTGGTCCGGCTCGGCACCACCGATCTCTGGATCAAGGTGGAGAAGGACTTCACCGTATACGGCGACGAGTGTAAGTTTGGCGGCGGCAAGACGTTGAGAGAAGGCATGGGTCAGGCAACGGGCCGGCCGGATTCGGAGTCTCTGGATATGGTCGTCACCAACGCGCTCATTGTTGACTGGACGGGCATCTACAAGGCCGACATTGGTGTGAAAGACGGTATGATTGTGGGTATCGGGAAGGCGGGTAATCCGGATGTCATGGACGGCGTGACCCCGAACATGATTGTCGGTAGCTGTACAGATGTCGTCGCTGGCGAGGGCAAGATTATCACCGCTGGCGGCATTGACACTCACATCCACTTCATCTGCCCACAACAGGCAAACGAGGCCGTCGCGTCAGGAATCACCACCATGCTCGGAGGTGGTACGGGACCAAGGTGAGAGAGCGTTCCCCTGAAGAGCAAGTCAGCTTGTTCCGTCGACTAATCAACCTCCTATAGTGCCGGCACGAGCGCCACGACCTGTACGCCCGGCAAAAACTACATGCGCGAGATGCTTCAGGCCTGCGACACGTTGCCCCTGAACATTGGCATCACGGGCAAGGGCAACGACTCGGCGCCCGAGGCCCTGCGCGACCAGGTCATCGCCGGCGCCTGCGGCCTCAAGCTCCACGAGGACTGGGGCACCACGCCCGCGGCCATCGATACGTGCCTCAGTGTCTGCGACGAGCTTGACGTGCAGTGTCTCATCCACACCGACACGCTCAACGAGTCGGGCTTCGTCGAGTCCACCATCAACGCCTTTGCCGGGCGCACCATCCACACCTACCACACGGAGGGCGCCGGTGGTGGCCACGCCCCCGACATTATCTCCGTCGTCGAGCACCCCAACGTCCTGCCGTCGTCGACGAACCCGACCCGGCCCTACACCCGCAACACCCTGGACGAGCACCTCGACATGCTTATGGTCTGCCACCACCTTTCCAAGAACATCCCCGAGGACGTCGCCTTTGCCGAGTCGCGCATCCGCGCCGAGACCATCGCGGCCGAGGACGTGCTCCACGACCTCGGCGCAATTAGCATGATGTCGTCCGACTCGCAGGCCATGGGCCGCTGCGGCGAGGTCGTCCTCCGCACCTGGAACACGGCGCACAAGAACAAGGTCCAGCGCGGGTTCCTGCCCGAAGACGAGGGTACGGGCGCCGACAACTTCCGCGTCAAGCGCTACGTGAGCAAGTACACCATCAACCCGGCTGTCGCGCAGGGCTTCGGTCATCTGGTGGGCAGTATCGAGGTCGGCAAGCTTGCGGACCTGGTTGTCTGGGACCCGGCGTGGTTCGGCACGAAGCCCAGCCTGGTCATCAAGAGCGGTCTCATCGCGTCCGCGCAGATGGTAAGTTTCCCTCCCCCTCTGATCTCTCATGTATTTCATCGAGAAAAAAAGAAGAGAGAAAAAAAAAGGTTCAACTAACCAACCCCTCACAGGGCGACCCCAACGCCTCCATCCCGACAGTCCAACCCATCATCGCGCGCCCCATGTTCGCGCCCCTCGTGCCGGCCTCGTCGGTGCTCTTCGTCTCGGCCGCCTCCATCGCCTCGGGCGCCATCGCGTCGTACGGCCTCCGGAAGCGCGTCGAGGCCGTCAAGGGGTGCCGCACGGTCGGCAAGAAGGACATGCGGTTCAACGACAGCATGCCAAGGATGAGGGTCGACCCGGAGAGCTACACCGTCGAGGCGGACGGCGAGGTGTGTACCGCCGAGCCGTCTGATACGCTTCCCTTGACGCAGGCGTTCTACGTCTACTGAGCGTGATGATGATGACGACGACGGCGGCGGACTTTTTATGGTGTTGATGGGATGGACATCAACAGAGTATTTAAGAGGTTTGGCGTTGATGAGAAGATGAAAGTATGATGAGAGGGCACGTCGTAGTGAGGGGGAAGGGAAGAAACATTTCAAAGCATAGCGGCATGCGGGCGGGTAGTTGGGACGGGATATCGGGTGGTGCTTATTATTAATGACATATAAGAGAAGCCACCTTACCTTGGCTAGGTTATGAAAGGTTTCCAAAAAAGCAAAAGCAACAGCATTTTCTATTTCATGACTAAAAACCAGAACATCAGAAAGCATGCAGTACAGTGTCAGAGTGTCATGAGGGGGGGAGGGCGCTTAAGAAAAAGTCTTGGCCGTCGTTCTGATAGAGTAATGCCAACACCCTCTCTCGTTTCCCCCCAAAAGCCTACAGGGTCGACGGACAGATTCGACGATCCGCGCGTCGCATGTACGCGTCCGTGTATGGACTATGTGTGCGAGGGACGTACGTAGAATCGTGCTTAGGCGTCTGATTGTTTTCAGACTTGTCGAGCAGCGAACTTGGATAGGTGAGATGTATCAACTTCTTTTGGTCACTCGAAGGGATACGTATCTGCTACTTTATACTGAAAAAAAAACAAAAAACGTAATTTACGTACAGGGAAATTGCCAACAGGGTGAGCGTTTCTGCGTACTTATGCGTCTAGAGTTTGATTGAACATTGAATACGTCAACGTGACAGATGGACGTATTGAATTCTTGACTCTGCCGTACAATAGACCTGGGTAGAAGCGTCTCTGCTTGAGACTCCTTCCGCATACACTGGTCCATGAGGCTATCTTCTCAGGGCGAGAAGATACACACTACATCTCGTCACGATACATGTCACATTCTTCATCGGAGGCAAGCACTGTCAATATGAAGATCAATATTGTTTGATTCTCTCATGTCCGTCATTATACATACAGGACTAACCGGAAAACAAGCAGAGCCAGCCCAAACCGAAAGCCCATTGGATCCATAAACCGCCCACACTCAAGTCGGGAGTTTTGTATTCCTTTCTTTCTCTCACGCGTATTGTGTCCGTTGGAAAAACCGTCCCAAAACCGCACGCCTTGTGAAATCATACACACCGCGTTCGCGCGCAGCAGGCACACGCAACGACAGAGGACCGAAGTAGATGTGGTCCTTCCTTTTTTCCCCCTCCAGTCCAGAACCTCACACCCCCGTGTATATCTGCGCCAACATAGGGACAGTGAAGGGGGTAAGGATCAGCGACAAGCCGCCGCGCAACGAGGTATCATCTTTGCAAAAACCCAGAAACCTAGAAACAAGAAGAAATGAGTAGAAGGAGGGGGGTCGAATGAAGCAGAATGCTTAGTTCTTGCCCTTCTTCGCTCTGCTCTTCTTGGCTGGCTCCGCCGACTCAGTGGCGTCAGCGGCCTTGGTGGATGTGCGGCGGCGCTTCTTGTCAGGGCTTGCGGGAGTGGCAGCAGCCTTGGCCTCGGGCTCGGCAGCGGGAGTGGCAGTCTTGCGCTTGCGGGTAGAAGCGGGCTTCTTGGGGGTCTTGACGGGGGCAGGGACTTCCTCCTCCTCTTCCTCTTCACCAGGAGCATCGACGGTGTTGGCCTGGTTGAGCTGCTCGGCGATGGCATCCTCAACATCGGGGACAACATCAACAGGGTTGATCTGGATGTTGTGCTCCTCGGCGTACTTGAGAGCGCTATCATCGTCCATGTTTCTGGCCTCAAGGTTGCCACCCTGCTTGTAGGAGTGGACGCGAGCCTGGTAGAGGCGGAGGTTGTACTGGTACGCGTTGTTCCAGCCGGCCTTCTCCTGAAGGTTCATGGCCTTCCAGCGGCGCTGGCCCTCCTCCTGAACAGCACCCTTGGGAGCGGCATCACCAAGGTCATTCGCAATTATGGGACGGGCGGTCTGCATGTACAGGAAGTAGGGGGTCAGGGGGCGCTTGGGAGCATTGGGGTCGTGGGTGCGCTTCTTGCGCTCCTTCTTCTCCTCAACAGGGGCAGGGTGGTAGGCAACGCCGGGCTGGAGACCAAGGGCCAGGGGAGCGATGCTCTGGGCAGCATGCTCCAAGGTGTTCAGAGGGTGGTCAATGCCCGGGATAGCCTCGTGTGCAGACTCGCCAAGAAGCAGGCTGGTCTGGCGGTAGTAGTCCTCGGAGAAGTTCTTGATCAACTCCAAGATGGTGATGAGGCGCTGGTGAACCTGACAGTGGTGTTAGCATTCTGTCTGATCAGATGCGCTTGAGCAAAGAGTGGTGAGATGCGTAAAGTGTGTAGCAGGAAAGATGTAGTGGGATATGGGCAGCCAAGCTTAGCTGAGCTGAGCTTGAAGAGCTTCTGTGGGTCACAGCTCCCGCGGCAGACGCGGGGTCACATTGGTCCATGTAAACAAAAACGAGCGTTCTGACGCAGCGTGTTTTTCCCCTGCCATTTTCTCGGAGCACATTTGGCGTATCAAATGCAAAATGTGCCCGTTTCGTCTTTCGCGGTGCCGGCTTTGAATCTGAATAGATAGCAAGCACACAAGCACGCGCGGCTGACAGTTCAGGCCGAGAAACGCGTCGAAGAAATAGCAAGACAATCAGATGCTTGAAATTCTCATGGCAGTAGAAGCCAGTGAAGAAACTGGCGCGATATCGACTCCAGGATAGCCAGCTGGGCCGTGGTGGAACGGAGAGTGAAGCTTGGGAAACATGGCGGCGGAGAATTGAGGTTTTGAGGGAATGGTGGAAAGGGTGTATCTTACCGAGTCGCGGACGCGAATGAAACCCTCGACATCAATGTGTCTTTGGGGGATCTGGAGGGGCTGCACGGGCTGAGCAGGCGCGACGGGAACGGCAGCAACGGGTGCGCTGGGGGTGGCGGCGAGGGCCTTCTTTGAGGGGCGAGGCATTGTGATGGTTGTGTTTTTTGGTGGTTGTGGTGAGGTAGAGAGGATTTAGGGCCGATGGGCGCTGTAAATCAAGTGGTGCTTTGACGCGACGATGGCGAGAAGCAAAAAAGGGTGTGCTGGTGTTTGGTGGAGTTGTTGTTTTTTTCTGGCACTCACAAAGTGGCGCAAGGTTGGGAGGAAAGGGCGGTTGAGATTTGGGGGGTTTGGTGCCTGGGAAAGGGAAGAAATGGGGGAAAAAGAGGGAAGGGGATGGGAGGTTTGGGGGAGGGCCTGAGCCGAATATGTAGTGCAGACGGGGTGGGAGGGGTTTGGGAGTGATTTGGCACCTTTCCGGGGGGGCCAAGTGGGAAGGGGAAGAGGGGAATAGAGAAAAAAAATTCAGGCACTTCGCTCTTGCCCGGCCCAAAAAAAAAAGCCAACTGGACGAGTTTTGGGGGGCCTGCTCTGTCCCCCCTCTCTTTCACCTAAAATATTCCCATTCTCTTGCCCTGTCCTTTTTCTCCCCCCAAGGCTCCAGCAGCAGCAACAGCAACAGCAGCAGCAGCAGGCGATCCAGCCCACAGCTTGTAGGTTTGTTCCCCCTCTTTCCCGGTCTTCCACCTTGCTGGCGAATCCGCGGTGATGTCGCTCCAGTTGTCGCCCGTGCCGCCAGACGGTTAAACCGTTAAACCACGACTGCCCTCTCCCGTCCCTTTCGGGCGGGAAGTACAAAGTCTCCACGTCTACCGTCTCTCACTGCATACTTTACCTTAGGTAGGTTGTCTACACTGGTGCCACCTAATGCAAACCTTGGTTCCCATGTTCCCACACTCTCTCTGCGCCAATATTGAATACCCTCTGAGCCTCTGAGCCTTGAGGCAAGGTACCTACCTACCTTAGCAGCTCATGTACCTTTGGCACCTTCCCTCAATCACATCATGCGACGCGTGAAAAAAAAAAAAAGTGCCCGACACCCCTGCAACACTCAAGGGGATGCATCCACCGCAGCGCTGCTAATCAGTAATGGAAAACGAAAAGGCTCCTCTCCAGCCTGGCCCGATCAGTCTCGCCCACCTCAGCGCGCCTGGCCAAGCCAGCTGGCTGCTGGAGAGGTTATGCCATTCTCAGCATCATCTTTTTGTGCACAAATGTGGTAAGCACATTGCCTGCAGACCTTGTAAACTCCCAGGGCAGCCCAGGGCTTCCAGCGTTTTCCACTGTCAATGACGGCCGATGGGACACTTTAATCCACTCTACCAGAGCCGTGAAGCAAAATAAACGAACACTTTCACGCAAAGAGATGATACAGCGCCAGCCCACTCAGCACCGGCCGCCAAAACACGAAAGAGGCATCAGAAGAGAGTGACAATTTGAACACCAGAGAGGCCACATGTCATCCATACCGTCCTTACCTTAGGATAAGTAAGGTAGGTACCTTACGGTCTACAAGCTTTTCCTCTGCGTCCCGCCATTCCTCTCGTTCCCTTACCTAGGTTGGTTACCTCACCTCACCGAAAAAGGTACCTACAAAAGGTACCGCTGGCCATCAGCTCCCCCCCTCGGCATCGGCGCTCGTGTTGATTGCCGCCCAGCACAACTGGACTCGACCTGAGTATATATCGAGCCTCGTGGATTGTCTCTTTGCTGTACTTTGCTATTGTCAGTCAATTAACTGGTCGTCGAGTAATCCTCTTTCTTGGGAGCAAGGCTATGCTTTTCTTGCTACTATATTAATCCCCGACCTGTTCTGGGCATCTGCATGGCTTATTCGTGGTCGTTGCGGACACTGTAGTGCCCCAATCGCGCTATCTGGTGCGCTGCTTGTCGCTGTGATGCTCTGGCGGTACTCTCACTGTACTTTTAGCGACGTGGTATTGGGTGGTGACGGGATGCCTTGGAGTTTTGCACCCTTTTCTTCCTCCCTCGATCGCTGATTTTCGGCGGCGGGCGCCCACATTTTTCTTGTGTGTGAACCTGCGGCGTGCACCGTCCATGACACACACACACACCTCGCCTCCCCATCATTTAGCGGTAATGCCCTGTCGCCCAATGAGGGCCCTGCAATCGGGGGCGCCCACTCGCCTCTCTGCCCAGTGCCAGCGAGCGAGCGTCGGGTCCCGCCCGTTTTCCCAAGCCACCCGTGGGCCTCGTGAGAAAAAGAGCACAACGCCCACAGCGTGCCTGCATTCTGTGCACAAGGGGGGGGAAACAATGACCGGGGGGATAGGATTCCTCAGGTAGGTAGGTACCTTACTCCGTACCGTACCTTAGAACCCGTCGGTGATTGCACTGCCCCCATCCCCGACCGACAATCTCTGACTCCCCTCATCCACCTCCCGTTACTCACTGATTGTGATCCCTCACTCCTCTCCCTCTGTCAGTCGGGCTGTCCTCCATCGGCCGGCTTGACAGGTTCACAGTGCTGTGCCCTCCAGGCTGTAAAAGCAGCAAGGCTTCTGGGGACTCGGGTGCCTATCCCCGCCTATGTCTGCCTGAAACTGACTGGGCACGTCCAGATCACCTCCAGTCCTGGACTCCCAGGTGCAGCAGCAGCAGCGGCACCCCATCCATCACCGTACTCTTCCGCACCCCCCGCCGTTCTCAACTCGCTCTGGTCCCCGGGAACTTCTCGTTCTTCTCCTCGTCTGTCTGCCTCCCCCGACAGCGGCCATCTTCTCAGGCCTTTCCCCACTGCTTCGCCTGAAGATCCCTCTTTGTCGCCAACTTCAGAGCTTCTGCCCCCGTTATCGCAGCTGGCTCTGTCCGACTCCGTTTCTGCTGGCCTGGACCGCCAGTATGGACTCTGGACTCTAGGCTGCCCACCCATCTCATCCTCCCGTCTGCTCAGAACCTGACTTCAGAGTCGACACCGAGGACGCTGAAAGCCTGCTCCAGCCGAGGCCCCCCTCGTGTTTCCCTTCCCAAATCACGGGTACCTTCGGCCAAATACCAGGAACCCAGTCATCATCAGTGAGGTGGTCCTGCCAGGCACTGACGTGCTGAATTCTCGCCCACCACTGCCGCGCTTCTCACACTTGGTTATCGTGTCGGTCGTTCAGCAGCCATTAGGCCTCAGAAAGAAAGAATGAGACCGTGGACGTAGTCTCGTCGGCGGTGTTCGCTGGACCCCCAAGAAGTCCAGCACGGAGGGTTCCCCGCTCACTCGCACTCAGCACCGAGCATCTCGGTTTACGTGTTTCCGGCTCCAGCGATGACAGCGAGCGCTCTCTAACCGGCCGCCCAGCAATCCATTCTGGTTCTCGGGCAGTCTCAGTTCTCATGAGGCTATTTTCCCAGCACTATTGGAGTGGCCGCCTTTTCCCCGCCGTCGCTTCAGCTGGTACACCCGCGACTTGTTTTCATGTCCGAACAGTCCAAGGTCACCTTACCCAGTGTGCTCTCTCGTCCACAAGAGACTGGACCTATCCCTCGGTGCTTCCCTGTAATACTCCGTCAACGCCGTTTGTACCTAAGGTAGTTCCAGAAACCTGCTTGGTGGGCAACGGCTCTAGCTCTTCACCAGCCTGGGGCACCATCATCACCGGTGGTGTTGTAAATGACCCTGAACCAACTGTCTCCTGGCCTGAGAGGTCTTCATGCGCTGGCAACTACTGGAAAGCAGAAAAGCCCTGCTTGAAGCCAGATGCTCTCGTCAAGACTCACTGGGCACCTAGAGAGTTTTCACAAGCAATGTGGCCTTGGCTATTAAGAAGCATCTCCCACAGAAGTCATTCAAAGGCTCACCGTCATCCAGCAAGCATTTACATTGACGCACTAGAAGCAAACACTTGTACGGACGCCTGGGACTTCGGGCATGATGCTGTTCTATTCTTTGACAACTGCCCGTGTTCTACGGAGCTCAGGCGGCCACCATTTCTCTGAGGCCCTTAGAATGAGGTGTCGGACATCCATCTAGACTCCCATCCTCTGGTCTTTCTCGGGAGGTGTAGCTCCGACTGGACGACCACACGGTACTCGTCCACCACTGGTGTCCAGCTTGCGATGGTTTACCCTAGAGGCACGAGAAGCTCTCGCACGATACCTTATCGATTTGCAGAGCTCACCCGTTCCTATGTTGAAGACAGCGTGACGGGCTTGTCTTGACAAGCATATCAGCATACGAAGAGTACACAATACCCAAATGTGTTGATGAAAGACATGCCCATCTGCACCACGTACATCAAGTCAAGTCAATAGGGCCTCCTACACACTCGTGGCCACAGAATCGCCTTCGGCATGGTGTTGTTGCAGAGCACCCATTGTAAACGGCACACCGAGCCCAGGCCGAAGACTCCGACGGGCCTCATAACGAGCACACATGTGCCGTTCATGAGGCTCGAGAGTGAATAAGTTTCAAGGCACGGGACGTGGAACTCTATTCACTAGATCAAGTATGGAATTGATTCAACTCAATCTTTGTGTCAGGGAAAGACACTAGAGTCTTGATCTCACGTAAATTCACAGGAGATGCTGATCCATGAGAATGAGCAACGGAATTCTGACACTGCAGCTCGTGATTGTTTGGCATATAAAGCCTCGGTTTCCAGGTGGGATGAGCAATGTACACAATCATTTCACGGCGCACGATAGACAATGTGAATCTACGTTTTACTAGATGGCAGGTCTGACCAGTGATCAGACGCAGGCAATGCGGGACTGCCCATCCATAGGTAATCCAGTTGATTTTGCTGTGGTGAGTCGCACCCCTGCGAGGCGTTGATCAACGGCTACCAACGCGTGTTTCTCGCCTAATCATAACAACTCAGACGCGACTTTGTAGACGTTCTGCAACGGCCTGTCTCATCCCAACCTGTGCAATCACAGAACATGGGAACTGGATCCATTAGGTGTCTCTGGAAGGGGGTTTGCAGTATGTCTCATGTTGTCTACACAGTAGGTGGCTAGATTCACAAATTGGTGAGTTTGTTCAACTCATCGATAGCTATTGCTCCCAGGATAGCTATGACGGGGTAGCTCAAGTCCCGCTTCGAAACTGTTTTTTTTTTTTTTAGCTATCAAAGCTTGAGAGAGAGCAGCAGTAAATCCTCGGCATCATCACTGGGTACTTTTGGTATCAGTACAGGGAGTTATAACAGGAGCAAGATCAGTAGAGGATGCACCATTGACAGCATGGCCCCAAGAAATCGGCGATGAGCAGTTGCAGCAGTGTTCCGCGACATGAATCCTCGTCCTACGCGCCCATGGTAGGTACATAGATGAGAACGAGATGAGATCAGTAAGCTTCTGGTACCTAGGGTGCCGTAGAGCTGTCGCCAATAGAAAGGCCCAGAAAGCTGAGCGGCCGTTCCACACTGGAAAGCTGAGCTCAGCCCCGCACCAAAAATGATGCCCCCTCTCCTCTCCAAGTCTCCTCTCCGTGACACATGGAAGAGTTCCCAATAGTTCTCTCATCCCTCATGGCCCCCGACCCCGCCGCCAGAAACCGGCCTGACCGCCAACCGTCTCATCCCGTTTTGAAACGAGGGTCTCCCCCCTCCCGGCCTCCCCATCGAAACTTGAGGTGACGACTGGCGTCCAAGGTCTGACAGAGGAAGAAAGTCGCGGCCGGAGGCAGCCCAGCCCAGTCGCCGATTTCCATTGGCAGCGGATCGGCCCCGGTGAGGAGCCTCCACCCAGGTGCCAAAAGGCGACGTGGAATAGTGGAGGAGAGTGTAGCGGAGCAGTGAAGCATTCCAGCAGTTCTCAAGTCTTGAGATGCCTGCGAATATTCTCAGCGCATCGAGTTCGCATGAGTTTCTTGCTTGGTTCCTTGCCTTCTGAGCGCCGGCCAGAGGTGTAAGCCTGATTGCCTACCCGGTGCCCCATCCGATCAGGGTATGCCAGTGTGAGTGTGATCTTGCAATGTTAAGCATTCGTATTCACGTTAGCAATGAAGAGTTGGGAACTTTCCGTAGAAAGTGATGTGTATTCGTACTCATATTCGTACGTATGGATCCCCTCTCGCATCGCTGCCAAGGATCTGGACAAGGCCGCAGCTTCCAATTCCCACTTCATTCAACGTTATCTGCACCTGCCCAAGCAACGACTGCCCTCAATACCAGGTACCTCAGGAAGCAAACTTCTTGTCGGCGAAGGCTGCGTCATAGTTCATTGCACTTTTGTTGCAGACGTCCGAACTTTTACTCTTTTTCCTTCCAATTCGGATACTCGACCAAACCCAACATTGACAGAAACATCAGATAGTCCATATCACCAGCCAAAAAGGCAACCACGTCCTCCATCGTCGCCGCAGGTTTATTTTCAGCTGGCCAAGGTCTTTGCCTGACGCGCGCCCACACCCGCACCCGCACGTCGGACAGTTAGCACCACCGTGAACCAGGCCTCCCGAAAGGACCGGCGATCAAGCTACCCAACTACCTTACCTTGCCGAATCGAATCCACACAGCTGCGTTGAGCTTGATGCAGACCCCTGCCCCGTCCGACCTGGCTTTCTCCCGTTACCGATACTTCACTCTTGTACGTGTTCGCCACCCATTCTCCAAGTACCTCAAACCATCTTCCCAACTCCCAACCCATGGCGCTACTGGCAACCGTCCCCCTGTCTCTGATTCGAGCTCCCAATCGGCATCCGCAAGCCCCTCCATCACCGCCCACTGGCATTGGTGGGGGAAGCTCTTGGCAGCAGCTATCGCGCAGTAGTATGATGCCATGGCACCTGGGGGCTTGGACCACAAACCACCCGCAAAACACGCTGCGAACAGAGAACGGGAACCAAGGTGGGAGGAACGTGTGTGCGCGTGAAGGAGGGGCAGTGACAAGATGGAAGCCTCAGATGGCGGCGGATTGGACTGGGCTGGTCAAGATTGGATGGCGAGACCGTCACACAGCGTTCACAGACGTGTGTACGGAGTATGGTGCTTGGTCTCGATTCCAAGATTGTCTGTCGGCGCCCTCCTCTTCACTCGAGCCGCCTCCTGTTCCTGGCTTCTGATAGCTCCATCAAGTTCCTGTTCCAGTCCCCCTCCCCCATGCTCCCGAAGCTTGGAAGAACGCAGTTACGCCGTCGTGTTGCCCCTCCACCGCCTCCAGCCCTCATCAAAGGCCCCTCCTTTTCTTTACTGCCCCTTGCTTGTGTCATATCTCTCCTCCTTATTTCAATGACCTCCCCCTCCCTCTCGTCATCACAACTTTGTTTTGCTTCTGCGCAAACCCCACTTCACCTTGACCAAGTCACTAAACAGTCTCTACAGACTTACAACAGATAAACACTACTAAGTATCAGAAGAGGAGAGAGAAGAGCAGCACGAGAGGTACAAGTCAATCAACATGCTCGACGCCAGGTCCTACCCGCTGCTGGTCGGCCTGCTTGTGCTGGTCTGCCTTGCCCAGCCAACCTACGCCTTCGGAGCTGGTAACATTGCCAGCATTTCCAAGATCGAGGGCCAGAACTGTGAGCTCCTTCCCCCCCACCCGCCATTGTCTGATGGGGAGAGCAGGTCCGCTAACTCTTCTGTCACACAGGGCGCCACGGCGATATTGAAGATGCCCTCCTTACCCTTGCTATGGCCCGCGCCATCGGCGGCAAGAAGTTCAGCAAGATGATGGTTTCCCGTGTCTACTTTGGCAACTGGCTCAGGGATTACTCCCAGGCCATCGATGTCGGAACCGTCAAGTCCGTCTCCGCCGAGGCCATTCGTCTCCTTCTCTGTGTCCTGGGCTTCTTGACCTTTGGCTACGGATCGAAGGAGTTCGAGGTCACGGCCGACCGTCTTGGCTGCTACCGCCCCGAAGACCACATCGACAATCCCAAGAACTATGCCGACAACGTGGATGCCCGCCAGTACGACCGTCGTCTGAGAGGCCCCGTCGATGAGAACGTCGAGCTTGGCATTGACCGCGAGTCCGGCATGAAGAACTACATTGCGAACGAGCAGGCTGGAATCATGACTTCTGCCGCCCACGTTCGCAACTTGTTTTCCCGCTGCATCGAGCTGGCCCGCGGATACTCCCGCAATAAGAATGAGGCTGATCTCTACGAGGCCATGCGCCTCATGGGTACTGGTCTTCACTGCTTGGAGGGTACGTTGCTCGATCACATGATTCATGAAACCATGAGAGAATATCGCTAACGAAGTGTGGTACAGATTTCTTCGCCCACAGCAACTACTGCGAGCTTGCCCTGATTGAGCTTGGCGAGCGCGATGTCTTCCCCCACGTCGGCCGTGACACTCGGATCCAGCTGAACGGAGCTAGAGGCGATGTTTACCCCATTGTCACCGGCACCTTTGGAGGTGTTGACTTCCTTCACTCCGTCACTGGCGAAGGTACATATTCTTGAAATGCTCAACACAAGATCGCAGCTAACAAGACCAGTCTCCGACAAGCTGACCCAGAACGAGATTGAGGAGCTCGAGGGTACTCTTCAGGAGAGCAAGAACAACGATACCAGCATTCTGCGTAACCTTCTGGACATGATTCCCGATGGTATCTTTGGCGGTAAGCACCAGAGCAACCGGGTGGACGAGCTTCAGAGCAACGCGACCTCTTCGCAGCTCCAGAACATGCAGGTCTCTCCCAGGGAGCCTGAGGAGTACACCCGGTACATCCAGGATGTCTTCAAGCAGATCATGCCTGCCATCGAGTTCCACGACGAGATCTTGCAGGGTATCTCTGAGGCCATTGAGAAGATTCCCGTTCTGCCCAAGATTCTTGAGCAGCTTGAGGAGCAGCTGTCCAAATTTGTCTTCTCGGTCATCGCCCCCTTCATTATTCCTGTCATCAGCCAGATCCGCAACGAGCTGCGCACTGGTTCTGCTGAGATTATTGAGAGCAGTGAGAAGGAGCAGCACGTCGTCTTTGACGATGACCGTAGCACTGACCCTACCCATTCCATGTTGTCCAAGGACCACTTCACCAACGTA